AAGTGGTTGGGCATTCCTTTACCCTGCACATCCCAAATTCTTATTATGATCCCTTCCAAGTGCTATGTAATCGTAATGGCTTGGCACTTTCTCCTGATAATTCTATTTCTTTTCCAAGATCCTTTTCTTCAACACTGCTATAAGGTAATGTTATTGATTTTGATAGCTGTGATGTGCAGTCTTATGCCCCACATTCAAGGTCTTGTTCTATATTAAAAAGCATTTGCCAGTCTTGTGACCTTTTTTGGAGTTCATGTAGATCTCCTTGTAAGGACTCAATATTGTTTTCATTTCCTATTTTACTATAAATAGTGTCATCTGGAAATTTTATGATGTGGTTTATAATATTTTCATTTATGTCATTGATGTGTATGACAAGAAGGGTTGGCCCCAAGATGGAATTTTGTGGTACCCCACTTGCCACACTTCTGTCAGATTCATTTGAATTTAGAATGACTTTCTTTACTTTCATCGTTTTTACCACGGAAGATACTGGAAGGCCAGGTCCCAAATTTGCACAGTAGAAAAACAACATACTGGAGCAAAAGATATTGAAGGAAATGTAGAATAGACCCAGTAAGAAATAGAGGGGCCATAGGCCAGCCCATCCTCCTAAGATTTCAAAACATAAAGAAAATGGTTAATTTAAAGTGTCCTCTCCTAACCTAACAGACTAAGCCAGAGGACCCAAAACAGAAAAGAGACAGTATGTCACTTTCGCAAGCTACTTCCATTTTCCATGGCACTTTTTAACCTTAATGACGCATACGAGCGAAAAGCGACTTTCTTTTTAAGAGGACAGGTTGCATAGGCATACTTAGATAGTACCGCCTGAACATCAGACGTCTACGGCTGTTCAGTGCTCTCCCAGCGAGCATTAGAAGTACTGCTGGAATAAAGGTGGACTTCTTCAAAAAGCAATTAGATAAGTTCTTGCATGATGTGCAGGAGCAACTGGGTTGTGGATATATGGACCTGCGAGCTGCTCCAAGCAACAGCTTGCTTGATCAAGTTATCA